TGGCTCCAACTGTTGCAAACTCGCCGTCGAGAGGGACGAGGACCGGTCCGAAGCTGGCCCAGGATGAAACAACTACTTCGAGGTCACTTCCTACCAACAGACTATGAGTATATGTTGTATCTTCAGTACCAACAATGTACTCAAGGACAACGATCGATGAGTGAGTACACCAAGCAGTTATATCGATTAAGCACGAGGAATAATCTTCAAGAATCTGAAACTCAACTAGTGGCGCGCTATATTGGTGGCTTGAAAGATGTCCTACAAGACAAGCTTGAGCTCAATTCCATTTGGACCTTGTCCCAAGCGGTAAATTTCACTTTTAAAGCTGAAACCCAAGCGCTTCGCAGCCATTCAATTCATAAGAACCTTTCTAACTCCTTTACTGATAATGCAAAATAGATTTCTCAACCTTATATATCACCACAGCTGCCCCGCCCCACTAATAATAATTCTCCAACTCAAAATACAACTATCCCTGTGGATCCGAAAGGGCAGCTCAAGACAAATGCTCCAGCTAAGAAAAATCCTTACAGCAGATTGGGCACCCTCAAATGTTTCAGGTGTCTTTAGCCGGGACATAAGTCCAATGAATGTCCAAATTGGCAGCGAATTCAATTGATAGAAGGGGAAATACACAACACCGAGGGAGACATCACATCTGCTAAATAGGAGTTGGAGACGTGCTTTGAAGACATGCATGGAGACGAAGGTGACCCCCTCCTCTGTGTTATACAGAAGCTGTTATTAGCTCCCCAGGCTCCAGCTCATTCACAAAGAAATGCCCTGTTTAAAACCTGCTGCACCATTCAAGGAAAGGTGTGTGACCTCCTGATTGATAGTAGGTGTACTGAAAATGTTGTCTCACGGTCAGTTGTCCAAGCTTTGCAATTAAAGACAACTAATAATCCACATCCTTATAAGGTAAGCTGGATCAAAAAAGGGCATGGAGGTCACCGTTACCGATATGTTTTGTGTGTCCTTCTCCATTGGCAAACACTATGCATGTGAGGTACTTTGTGATGTTATTGACATGGATATTTGTCACCTCATTCTTGGTAGACCGTGGCAATACAATATGGATGTCGTTTACAACTGTAAACAGAATGTCTACGTGATTGACTGGAAGGGAAAGAAACTCCGGTTGTGTCCACACAACCCCATGTCCACCGGACCTGACAAAAATCCAAATGCAGCTTATGTGGCTTTTGGCAAACTATTGTTACAATCCAGACAAGACGTGAAGTTAAGCTTGGCCTTGGTCGTTTCCGACAACCACCCAGAAAAGGAGTATACAAATTGTTCTGTGGAAATTCAAAACCTTCTGAAGGAATTCCAAGACTTTTTGCCTCCCGAGTTATCGTATGAACTGCCTCCCTTATGTACAATACAGCACCAAATTGAATTTGTTCCAGGTGCCACACTCCCTAACCTCCCACACTACAAAATGAGTCCGAAAGAGTACTCTGTCGTGCAGGGAATTATGGAAGAATTACTGGCTAAATAGTTGATACAACACAGCTTGAGCCCCTGCGCATACCTGCCCTGATTGTTCCGAAAAAGAATGGGCAATGGCGACTGTTTATTGACAGTAGAGTCATCAACAAGATTACAGTAAAGTACCGTTTTACTGTTCTGAGAATTTCTTATTTGTTAGATCGCCTATCTGGAGCCACCATATTCTCCAAGCTAGATTTTCGAAGCGGATATCACCAGATTCACGTTAGACCCGGAGACAAGTGGAAGACAGCCTTCAAGACTTGCGACGGTCTGTATGAGTGGAAGGTAATGCCTTTTGGGCTTTGCAATGCACCATCTACTTTTATGTGATTAATGCATGAAGTTTTGAAGCCTTTCCTTGAAAAAATTTATGTTGCTTACCTCGACGATATCCTCGTCTTTAGTGTTAACCTTACAGATCATATAAGGCATCTTACTTAAATCCTTTAGACACTCCGCCACCATAGGCTCTATCTAAATCCTCCCAAGTGCCACTTCGCTTCTTATAGTATGCATTTTTTGGGTTTTATCCTCTTAGCCAACGGTGTTGAAGTTGATCACAGGAAAGTTGCTGTCGTCCGCGACTGGCCCACACCATAATCATTATTTGATATCAGGAGCTTTCATGGATTAGCCAATTTTTACAGACATTTCATCCGTGAATTCAGTGTAATCGTTGCTCCACTCATTGGTTGCCTAAAATTCAGTACTTTCACTTGGACGTCAACCCAGCAGGAAAGCTTTGACGCTATCAAGCTAGCTTTGTGCTCTGCACCTATCCGAGCTCTACCGAATTTTGAAAAACCATTCCATGTTGACACCAATGCTTCGACTATCGGGATAAGTGTTGTCCTCTCACAATAGACTAAACATATCTAATTCTTTAGTGAAAAATTGAGTCCCACAAGATAGAAATGGTCCGCGTATGAGCATGAGTTATATGCAATCGTGCGGGCTTTAAAACAATGGGAGCATTATTTGCTCCATCAGGACTTCATGCTGTTTAGCGACAATCAGACCCTTCAATATCTTAATAATTAGAAGAATATCAATCGTATACATGCCCGCTGGATCGTTTTCCTTCAAAAATTCACATTCGTTCTTCAACACAAAGAGGGGGACGACTCAATAGAGTAGTTGATGCTCTAAGTAGAAGGGCTGTCATGCTTGTTAAATTTCAAATGGAGGTTACTGGGTTGCAGGAAATGAAACACCTATATACCACTGATCCTGACTTTGCAACCTACTGGAAACAATGTACAAATGACACTCCCTGTGCTGATTTCAGCATACGCCATGGCTTCTTGTTTAAAGCAAATTGTCTGTGCATTCCCAACTCATCGTGGCGACACCACCTTATCAAAGAGACTCACTTCGGTGGCCTGTCTGCTCATGTCGGGCGGGATAAAACTCTAGCACAGCTCCAGGTTCATTTCTATTGGCTGCGGCTAGCTCTCGATGTGGCTCGATATATAGAGAGATGTTCCGTCTACCAAGCCTACAAGGGAACCGCTCAAAATACAGGATTGTATATGCCGCTTCCCACTCCCGACATCTGGGAAGACATTAGAGTCGATTTTATTCTCGGCCTCCCACGAACTAAGAATGGCGTTGATTCCATTATAGTCGTCGTCGACTGTTTTTCGAAGATGGCTCACTTCGTGCCATGCAAGAAGACTTTGGACGCTGTTCACATCGCTCGACTTTTCTTTAAAAAAAAATTGTCCGCTTGCATGGATTGCCTCGTAGTATCATCTCTGATCGCGACGTCAAATTTATTAGCCACTTTTGGCGAGAACTCAGAAAACTATTACATACCGAACTCAAATTAAGCTCTATCTACCATCCTCAAACAGACGGCCAGACCAAAGTCATCAATCGCACGTTAGGCAACATGTTACGTTGTCTAGTACAAGACCACACTAAAAAGTGAGAGAACATGCTGAGCCAAGCTGAGTTTGCATTTAATTCAATTCCAAACAGATCTACTGGCCACTATCCATTCAAAATAGTATATACTAAAATGCCAAATCACTTGATCGAACTTGCCATCATTCCTAAATGCAGAAGCACTGCTGCCGCTAAAACTGCAGAGGGATTTCAGAATATTATCCAGGAGGTCCATTCCAAGTTGAATGAGTCCAATTTGAAGTACAAACAATTAGCAGACGCTCACAGGCGGCACAAAATGTTTAATCCTGGTGATTTGGTGATGCTTCGCATTCGCCGAGAGCATTTTCCGACATGCACATATAGCAAACTCAGCCCCCGAAAGATCGGACCGTTTCCTATTCTGCGCAAGATCAACGACAATGCCTATGTCATCGATCTGCCGGACAGCATTCAGACCTCATCTACTTTCAATTTGTCTGATATTCACAAGTATCATCCACCCGACGATGCCACCACTGCTTTAACCTCGTCGGAGGCGAGTTCTTCTGAAGACGGGGAGACCTGATGAGGACTATCCTAGTCTGCGAGACACGTTATCATGCTTTTACCTCCACTACCTTAGCTGCCGTCCTTATTTCCCTTTCTGTTATGAACATTCTCATGTTTTCTTTCCTAACTGCCTACACACTTATAGTATAGTCTCAGAGCATACATATATATGATGCTAAAAGGAACATGAAAATATATAGAAAACAATACAAACATTTTACTATTGTTACATTGGTTTTGCCTTTCCCAGTTCTCTTACAGGTTGTCTCCGGCGTTGCTTGGAAGGAATACTTCACATTACTTCAAACCAAACAAAAAAAAACATTCACTTGCATTTACTTTACATTAATCCAACAAATTTTTTTTTTTCAATCATCCACTATTTTTTTAGAATTTTTAATGCATCAATTAAATCTCCAATTAAATCTAAATCAAATGAACTTAATTAAAAAAATAACCACTCCCTAATCAATTACATAATTGAGTCATCAAAGCCTTCCAAATTAATGCCGATTTGAATTTGGAAAGAATTCCAAATCAACAAAAATAATTATATAATGATTTAAAAATATAAAAATTTAGAAGGAAAAATGTTATATAATATATAAGTAGAATAAGAAGAGCAAATTTTATCCATTGTAATTTTTTAATCATATAATTTATCCTTTTATGAAAGGTTTTTGAATTAAAAAAAATTAGAACCACCAATGAAGATATAAAGCACATATGAAAAAAATTAAGCATATTTTTAAAATCAATAATTTATGTCCCCAGAAGAAAAAAAATTCTAGCTCTACAACTCCTCTATAAACGACTAAAAAATTTAATAAAATAATTATTATATATGATAAAAAAACAAAAAACGCATATTTCCCACTTATAATCCAAAAATCATCAATGATTTTCAATATCAAGAAAAAAATCATATATTTCCATTTTCCCATTCATAAACCAGCAAATATCATTGATTTTTAATTTTTAAGTTATTAATACATTGATCTGTTAATAACATTAATATATTTCCTTACAGCACCATGCATTAATTATTTAATTTCATCTCAAATGAATGTAACGGCTATGGGGCTACTAACGTAATACTTGCCAGAATCCCAACTCAATTGCCCATCCTTCACCTCCCCCGCCACCGGCTTTGGCAAACCCCCCTTGAAACTAAACTTCACTTCATAGCTCATCTCTTCCCCCAACTGGCTAAATTTCAACATCGCCGGACTTACCTCAACCCTTACCCCCTCCGGCTCCTTCACAACAACCTTATAAATTGAACCTGCATCCCCAACGTTCGTCACTTTTCTCTTCACTGTAACCTCCGGCGTGTTCCCTCCGATGCTCACACCAAAAGATGGATAGTTAAGCTTCTCAGGTGCTATCGCCTTCACCTTTGCGCAATCCACAGGTGCCTTTATGATCATTTTTACTCGGGAATTTGATTTATAATAGCCACATAGGTAATGAACATAATCATAATCATGTAGCTCGTATATAATCCCAGGGTTTGCAGCTGCTTCCGGGTTAATGTGGCCGGCGCCACGCTCGAACACGGTAGCCGCGTCGCCTTCATATTCATCCGTGATTGGATTCCCTTGGCGATCCAATATGTATGCGGTCGTCATAATTGCCGACTTGATTGCTGCTGGCGACCAGCTTGGGTACTTATTTCTTAAGAGCGCAACCAACCCGGAGACATGCGGGGTAGCCATGGACGTCCCGCTTAGAAAGTTAAAATGAGATCCTGTCGGCCCAACAGGTTTCGGCCACGCAGCAAGAATGTTAACTCCGGGCGCGATCACATCTGGTTTTATGATCCCGCCATTGGTCAAGCTTGGGCCTCTAGACGAGAAGACTGCGACCGCCGGGGCTGAGTTCATTCCAAATTGGGTCCCGTGGAACTTTATCGCTGCTGTAGGTTTTTTCGTTTTGGTGTAGTACTTATCCACGAGATTTGAGCTAGTGAAGTTGAGGTGTGCGGCAGGGAGTACATGAGCAAAGGCGCTGGTTGTCCCCCCTGACCTCCATCCATTTACCAAAATCATGGCCGTGCCGCCTGACTTCTTCACGTTGTCGCCTCGCTCATCATCGTCGATGTCCATTGGGAGGAAGCACAGGACAATTTTTCCATGAAGATTTAATTTTTTTATCTCGCTCAAATGGCAGCCCAAGGAACCAACCGTTCCAAGCTCATGGAATGGGAAGGAGAGAGGCTGCTGAGTCGATGGAAAGTTGCTGGGTTGGTTAGCCGACTCACCGGCTAGCTCCGAACCATTGCCGAGCAACACCGATGCCGTAATTCTTCTATCAACAGTGCTTGCCCCAACTGTTAGTATCCACGGCGCATCATTAGCTACTTTGCTAGCCGAAGCACCTTCATTGGCGATCGCAGCACAGGGAAATATACCGTTTTTTATAGACGCGAATGAACCGATGGCAACAGGGTCCTTGAACAGCTCAACATTGGATAGCCCAAGCGACATCTGAAGAATATCAACGTTGTCACGAATGGCTTGTTCTATAGCGGCTAAAATATCCGCATCGGTGCCCGCAGAATGACCATTGGGACCGACGAACAAGGCTTTGTAAATTGCAAGATGAGCACGTGGGGCCATGCCGGAGGCCGTCCCCTGTGCCTGCCCAATTACATTAGCTTTTTCAACAAAATTTCCGGTCGCGATGCTGGCGACGTGGGTGCCGTGGCCGTCGTTGTCATACGGGTTGGGATTTACGACACGGTGGTGGAACGCAGCGGCTCCGATGAGCTTGTTATTGCAGGTACGTTTATTGCCCCAATAGCATTTGCCATTCCATTTGGAGGGAGGAGGGGGCATTCCCTTATCATTGAAAGAAGGGTGGTTATTATCGATTCCGGTATCGATTACGGCAATGATTTGGCCGGCGCCCATTGAAGAGTCTTGCCAGAGTGTGTTTGATGGGTTTCCTTTGAGGGAGAGGAAGGTGGGGGTGTAGGTGGTGGAAGCATAGTATTCTTTTTCTGGATAGGCAGCAATGAAACCATCGAGGGATTCCATGGCTTCGGCTTCATCGGAGCTGAGACGAGCGGCGAAGCCCGTGATTACTTCGCGATAGGTGTAAACCATCCGAGGTTCTCCGGAGGCGAGAGTGGCATTGGAGAGAAAGGACAAGTACCAATTTTTAAGATTTTGGAAGCTGAGTGAGCGGCTTGCGCCTCTGCCGCGGCTGCGGGGCTTCTCCACGTGGACTATGTAGACGGGAGTTTTGCTGGCGTCGATGCCGCCACCTTCATTGATTATGGAGAAGAGTTGGGCACGGGCTAAAGGAGCTGGATGAGATAAGAACGCGAGAATCTGGAAGAGGAAGATGAAGAGGTTGAGGATGGCGACAGCCATGGTGAAATTATGATCAGCGCTTGATGATGCCTCATAGTCACACAGCATATTATAGGGCTAGCTGCAGTAAGGATCAATTGAACAATCAGAGAAAAATAGTTGAAGTACTTCATGATAAGGCCATAATACGATGTCATAATTACTTGATTAAAGCGCACCTTTTTTTTTGGTTTGCATGGAATACAATGCTTTCTGTACTTCTGTAGCATGGGGCATATATGATACGAAATATTGCATGCTAACCTTGAATATCCACGGAGATAATTTGGAGGGCTTAGATTAATTACAGTTTAATTCAATTTTGTGCAGAGAGCTAATGTATGTTATAGCAAATATTTATTTTGTGTAGAGATAATCATTTTCTGTGCTTATTTAGAGGTAATTTATCTAATTGTTTTTGCCAGAGAAAAACTTCAAAAATGTTTTCACAATACTATCATAATTATTTATGCGAATTTTTATACCATTAAATTTGTATACCTTTTTGTATCAATTTATATTTATTTTTACAATGATATACCGATTGTCATAGGAGTGAAATCAGTCGGGCAAATACATACAACAACATCAAGCCTTTAGCCCTACGTGAGGTGGGCAACATGAATGTTTTTTTTCCATTGTGTCCTATAACAGGTGGGGGCAATGACATAATAATAATAATAATAATAATATATAACAAAATCTTATATTGCATTATAATTATTAAAAAAATTACAAGTTTTACATTTTATTTTATATTTTCTAATAATATTGCATTGCAATTAATTAATGCATAAGCATTGATTAGTATTGGAATGATCGTGCTTCAGTCTCTATTATATTCAAAAAAGAAACAATTGTGGTTCCATTGTATGAGATATCTTAGATTGATTGAGAAAATTTTTAATGATAAATAGCTTATGGATGCACTTTTAAGTAATTTTATGATACAATTATTTTAGGAATTATATGTAGCCCAAATAATGAAAGCTGTTAGAAGATCAGATTTAATAAATTGAAATCTAGTTTCAATTACTAAAAATCAGATTTTTCTATAGTAAGTAAATTTAAATCATATTTCAATTTGTTAGAAAATCCAAATTTTTTGAGGGAGCAATTGCCCTTGCCGATTGATATATCATCAAGAAACTATCTTGATTGGGCGATGCAAATATGAATCAGAAACTTCTAAAATTTAATATGAGACCATTCGAACTTCGATTTCAGCAAAGTTACAGTCTGATGCGGAGCATTTTAAGCAAATAGTTCTCCTTAGGAATATCTTATCTAGTTATTAGTACTAGTTTCTAGAATCCTCTTTTTGCTTTATAAAGAGGAGATTTTGTAAGGGGGAAGGCATTAATGACATATTACTCTCTTTGAGGCTTAGAAAGCTTGTTCTTCTTCTTCCCTGGATTGGGAACTCTTTGAAATCCTTCTTGCAGGTGTCGTCTTCCGCCGATCCACTACATCATAGTCAAACTAAACGTTTCGAAGAAAAGAACCCAACGATACTAAATTTGATCCAATCCAAGCTTAAATGGGTCCAATTCAAATGAATGAAACCTATTTAAAAGCTTTAGAACATTAATTGGATAACTAGATGATATCTAAATATGACATGCTTATAGTCGAATCGAGCAGCTCGACGAAATGAATTCATCGAGCATAAGATCGTAGAATTTTGCCATCATTAAGAAATTCAAATGCTCGATAAATGGTCAAGATCAAGAGATTTGATATCGGTCATCCATTGAAATACTCTCATCATGCGCGTCTTTGATCTTCTCCCTATTTATTAGTCATGTTACTCTCAAAAAATTATAAATAGACCTCTCATTCTTCACTGAAAAGAAAGGAAAAAAAGGGGACAAGAATCAGAGTTCTCTCATATATTTTCTAGCCATTGTCGTTGCCGCAACCACCAGTTATTATCACCAGCAACCATCAGTATCACTGACGATCGACATAAGAAATCTTCTAGAATATTATCAAAATCGTACATATCCAATTGTTCTTGATTTTTGTATTTTCTTCTTCTTCAATGGTGAAGAAAGAAGAAATTTTGTATCACTTATTATATAGTGAATTCTGCAATTGGGTCAGACCCCACGATTTTTTCCTTTTCGGGTTTCCCACTTAAAACATCTTCTAATCCTATCATTTTTCTATGTTCGTGCTGGGTTTTTGTGCATTGCGAAGATGTGAAATTCAATCTCTATCGACTCAAATTTTCTAGCACGCACCGATAAATTTTCCTTAAAAATGAATTTTATAACACATTAATTTGCCACTCTTATCATGACATCATTATTCCATAAAATTAATATTAACATAAAAAATGAAAAACTAAAATTTTGATTTGTGAAAAGCTATATATACATTTTGACTTTATTCAATGTTAAATAATCTAATTATTAACGTTTTTTAGTCCTGATGTTATCTTTAGCATTGATTGTTCATGATATTACCATTACGCTCCGTTGTCGTAAATTTTGCATCGCTTTTTTATTTTTAATTTATCATTCGAGATAAAAAAATATTCGGGGTATTATTAAATAACAAATTGAAAAAAATAAAGAAAAATTGGACATTTCTAAGGACAAATTAAATATTTTGTAAATAAATTTAACGGCATAAATTAAATAAAAAAAACTATTTTCCAAAAATTATATAGCAAAAAAGGACAAAAAATAATACATTTATGGCCTACTAAACTTAATTATGCAAACCGACCTTCCATGATCAAATTTTTCCGAACAAAGGCTGCAAAGCCTGCAAAATGCTTAGAAACTTTTGAAAATGTGCGGAGAAGAATGGGAGATGAGGAGGGTTTTTATAGGGGCGATGAGGGTATTTCGACCTTTATCAGTATTAGGGGTATAAATGAGTCAAGCTAATTCAGGCTGGACTAGGGGTGTAGTCGAGTTTAGGCTCTTATCGAGCTCGGCTCTTCAGTTGAAAAGTGATCTCAAACTCGAGCTCGTCTCACTGTAAACGAGCTCGAGCCGGCTCACAAGCCATGGACAGGAATTTTAAAATTTAGGCAGGATTTTTAAAACTTAAGCGGAATTTTTAAAACTTTAGTTAAAATTTTATTAAAAAAATGAAATGTTTACTTAGGTGGTTTTTATTTTTTTAATATTTAAATTTAATGAATACAATAAAATTATGTTTAAAATATTAATATTTATTCGAGCAGGCTCGCGAGCTGAGCTGGTTCAAGCTCGAACTCGAGCTCGTTTACTAAATGGGCTCGAACTCGAACTTAATCTTGAGCTCGACTCGTGAGTTCGATAAACTCGGCTTGTGAGCTTATAAAAGAGTCGAGCTCGAGCTGGCTCGCAAGCCGGCTCGGCTCACCTACACCCCTAGGCTGGACTCGATGGTGCGGTGCATTAGTTAGTATAATAATAGACTTAATTATACTTAGTTCTATTATGCAAGTTATATTATCTCCACAACTGTTAGTTACAAAGGTGATATTCGCTGGCATTTAGTTGAACTCGCCAGATGGGTCAGGAAAATACATATAACCAAACTAAGGAAGAATAGAGAGATATACCGACATTTACAAGAATTTTGGCTTCTTTGTTTTCTTCTCTTTGCCTATATAGGTTCCAGTGGTACCTGTCAACGGGAAATCACTTCACTCCATAAATGTCTTTTGTGCTGAATTTGATGAGCTAATGAGCTATGTTTGAGCCAGTTCTAACTCAACTTATTAGTTCATGAACTGGCTCACTTAAAAAATATTAGCAAAAATGGACCCCTCCCCGAGCGTCCTTGCCCGCGCGCCAGGCAGCCCACCTTCCTGGGTCGGGTCGGGTCAACTCGCCAACCTACTTGGTCGAGTCCGGGTTCGAATTTCGACCCGTTTACCTACCCTGGTCGGGCTAGGGTCGACACATTTGAACCCAGGTCAATTACCGCTCCAGCAGCTCATCACCGCCTCCCACCATAGCCGATGTCATCTTTCATCACCACCACAATCAACCGCCATTCACTTTAATTCAATCCCAAAAAAAGCTCTTCATTTTATTTTACACATATAAACAATTAAAAAAAATTAAAATACAATATGTTCTTTTTACATTGTAATTTTTTACTCTATATTTGTTTTCAATAAATCAAATGACCACTTAGTTTAAATCTAACTGTCTAATTGAGATTTCATTTAGAATAGCTTCCTTGAATTGATTTTTTCAATAAAAAAACTAAACTAATTATGGCGGTCAGCTCCAATTATCTGATAGAGTTTCTTGATAAATATGATCATAATATATTACCTCAAAAAATATTATAAACAAAACTTGCTTCTACAAATTCAGAGAGGATTCAAATAAAAAAAAAAAGAAGAGAATTTTGAGACTTAGAGGATTCCAAATCTGTTTCAACCAGCACTTGATGTGGTTTGTTAAGATGACCATCAACGATGACCATTGTTGATCATTATCAGTGTCTGCCATCAATCATTGCCAATGTCAGTCATCAATCACCACAAATTTCAACCGACGTTCATCATCGACTACTGTCATCAATCATAATAGATGCTTGCTTTTAACTATTGTTGTTGTCTATAATAGATCAATGGCTATGTATGTCATCTATCATTGCCCACCAATGAATAGAGTTGATATTCCTCATACTCCATCCCCAATCACCCTAGCTCCTTGTCAAGTAATCTTGCCATCTCTAGTAACAAGAAAGGGTGGGCTATTGTAATTTTAACCTATATAATCTATTAATTATTCATGCCATCCCAAACGAAGTCTAAGCTTGACTGAATAAAAAAGAAGAATTTTAAAAGGATTCAGAGATCTAGCTCAGTTCGATTGTCTAAAGGTTTCTTTTTGGGTTTTGCCAATTTATTTTTCTGGCAACCATAGATAGGGCTATCGATCATAATAATAAATATAAGTTATCTTTAATGAAACATTTATTATAGTATAGTCCTACTTAAAAACCTTTTAAAAAAGAAAGTACATTTTCAAAAAAAGTAAAAAAAAAACCCTTATTTTAATGGAACAATAAATTGAAGGCATATTCCATACAAATATTTATAAATA